CTAAAGCTAAAAATGCTGAAAGTACGTAACATTTCAAATTATTTTAAAAGAAAATCAGAAAATTCTCAGTTGGATACATATTCAGCTCTTTTACTATGGTAAATCTAAATTGGAAGCAAATGATTCATTCAAAGGTCACAAAATTCCTATAACAGCCTCTGTTCATGTATAACTTTGAAGCCTACATTAAAGGAGAACTGTAGTCACAATCTCTGTAACAAAATAAATTGACAGTATCACAAAATGTTACAAATTCCAAATTAAACAAAAAAATAGTGGACTTTGTGAAAGTACTATATAGTAGGCATGTTGTCAAGAGTTTGTGAAAATTGCGACATGATGCAGCCCTTCCTGTTCACGATAATCTAATATACGATATTATAAGTACAGGCTGTGCAGCAGACATTTCACTGCAGAAATGTTCCAATGTGATCTGCAGCAGAGGTAACAAGTAGTATTTGTCAAGGAAACCATAATATTTCTATTGGATTTAGAGATGTATTCAGAAACCTGGGTAAGCAAGACACTGTTTACAGAAAACCACTTTGAAGCCAACATTAACATCAAAATAATTTGTACAATGATGCTTAAGATGAGAGTCATGCTCATAGATTAACAATATCCCAGTCCCTGCATAAAGCTAGCTGGTATGTATAAGTGACAGGAGCTTGCAACAAAGTAAGTCAAGTGCTGACTGTACAAACATGGGGAGTTTGTTGTTTTTACACACTGCAAAAATTGAACTTTTTGGTTAAAGTAATAAACTACAATCAAAGGTGTTTCAATCAAATCAAGACTTAACAGGCTAAATGTGTCAGTCTGCAATCAGTACATTTCATTTTGTATATTTCCACTGCGGGTTTTGCCACATTCAGACTGCTTCACATATACCAGTGTTCAGTTTGTATAAGCACTGCAGTCATGAACACAAAATGTTCAATTTAAATAAACTGTGAACATCTGTAATCCATCAACATGAGACATTATTAGGGTGGGGTGAATACTTTTGTGAGGCAATCTAACCATCTCTAAAAAGAGACCAGCAAGAAGTTAAGAGGCACTCTTTCACTGTCGATATGTAAACATTTCTTAGAGACAGGTTTATCTAATAAAATGCTTTCAGCAAAATTCTCCTGGGTGGCTCATCCAAAACAAGTGCAAGCACAGGCTGAGCTCTATGTTCACAGGTTGGAGCCTGGCTCTTGTTGTTACCCAGCCGTAATTAGGATGCAGAACTGCTGAGTGCTGCAGAGAGCAGAGTGAGATTAATTAGACAGGGCTCTCATCTCTCAGAAACACAGTGCTCCCAGTGACCTCCTGGGCACTTGCAGGCATGTGGTGCTGTCCAGGAGGAATCCACCTCTCCTCTAATCGGTGCAGAATCTCTAGTAGGGCTCTATGGTACCCGTCACTGGTTAAAAGGTGAGTGGCTTAAATACAGGCAGGTCAGAGGCGTCTGCCTACACTTCCTCATTCTCCCGAGTACAGATCACTGGGTACACTGTGAAAAAACAACTGCCTATTGCAAATCAGGGGGAGTATAGCAAAAACAGCTGGCAACACTAACGTTTAAAAACATATCACTTATAACTGCAACAAATTCACCATGGTATGAGGTTTTATGTTGCAGATCCAGAGACTGTATTGAACAAACATGACAGTCAACTTAGTGAACTAGCATGTGTCCTCAACAAGCTTGATCAACAGGGGGCTTACTGTGAAAGTCACAAATCAGAAACATGTGCAGCCGGCCACCCTGGGAAGCAATGCAAACGGCAATGTGAGCTTTTGTACCATTGCTCCAGCCTGGACAAGCACAACCACAACCCTATTCTAGGGTTGCTACCTCTGCCTTCAAAAAAGGAACACCATAAAGAATTCCCAGTGAAAAACTGGCTTTCCTTACTGCAACAGGTCTTATCTATAATTAAACAGATGTCCTAGATTTCGTTTCAGAGACTACTGCACTTCTAAAAAAATAAATAAAAATAAATGTAACCTTGTGAAAATGATGTTCTTATTGATGAAAATGAATGCCTTTTTTTGTGGTTGGAGAGCAAGCATTTCATCTTCATCTGTTTTTCCAGCCATTTCTCCATTTGCTTACAGGCTCCATCCGAATCTATCAGAATCCTACCCCACTGTGCGCCTTCGTATTCTGAAAGTATTCTAAAAGGGAGAGTGTAGATGATTCCGATATCGCCTGTTTCCTCTGTACATTACATCTAATCGAATGCGAGAACTAACCGTGTTTGGTAATAATGTGTGAGTATGCTAACAAAAGAGTCTGCAAGACCTCATGGGGAGCAGGATAGCTCACCATTCAAGAAGATGTGAAAAGGACACGTACAACGTTAATGAGGGATGCTAAAGTTCATATCAGGGATCCAACAAAAATAAGGAACATTTAATGTCCAGGGCTATATTACAGATTTCCTGGGAAGGATGCTTCAGAAAGAGAAATAATCCTGGGAAAACCAGGACATGTGACAACCCTACCCTGTTCAATGGTCTGTGAACCCTTGATCACATGCTTCATCCCTGATCGTCACACAAAGGTTCAATGGGGCTCACGTCTGGCAAGTAGGGCATCCGTGGTGTTAACTCACATTTCTCAAAGACAGTCGTTGCTATAGGAGCAGCATTTGGACATGCGCTATCATTCTGGTATTTTGTCACATCAGGCACAGCCTGCAGGAAGGGCTGCTACTGCAGTTCCAGGACTTGTTCAATGTAGGTTCGTGCTGCAGTCAGGACGCCATAAATCACTCTCTGCAGAGAAGTGTACCAACTAGACACTCCTTCTCAAACACTTGAACCTCCAATCAATAGGGCTGTTGTACTGAACAGCTTACATATTATTCTGCATGTCTGCACTACACTCAATGCAAGACGTTCAAAAGAGCAAAAGAGGACTTGGGTCCAACTGACGTGTTGCTCCTTTATATCGATGGCACAAATGTTTTGTTCTGTTGATGTGCAGGTCATACTAGTTCCTTTGTGTCTTTTTTTAAAATTTCATCAGCCCTGGCATTCAACAGGTTAACCACATTATCTGCGCCCAAACAACTCTCTCAAGAGTGATGTAGTGCTTACGCAACAATCACTCAAGTGTATCGCGATCTGTCATGACCAATTAATCAAGGTGATCTAGATACAAAACCGTTGAATGACATACAATACAAAGTGATCGTTTATTTGTGATACTCGATACTTCTGAGGGCTTACCAAAGTTGCTAAAATAGAAAATGATTTGCTTTGATGAGTTGTGAATGTCACACGTCTTCACAATCTCAGCCAAGCTAATGGCACAACTTTCGTTGAAATGTTTTCCAAAGTTGGAACTTAGATATAAACATCTGATACCATTGTCAGCAGCTCTGGGTTTCCTGTCATACAGACAGCTTGGCTACAACACATGACCTTAACTTTTAACTTGGATTAACCTTCGTTTCCTGCTCTCATCCTCCCCACCCCAACCCCCAATTCTGAGCTCTTCCTATGATCTAGTTACTTGTTAGTTGGGACAAGATGGCTGCCATCTGCTACCCCCGAGAAGCAGCTCACTGAACAATTATCTTAGACGGACTACAGTGAAGTGCTCTACTTTGTGACTTGTGCAGTGTTTTGTCATATACTTCTCTGAATTCCTGTACCAGCACTGATTATCCCGCTTTTCATAAACTTTAAATATTTATAGGATATTCATATGACATGTTTGTCTAGTGTGTGTCACGTGTGTCTAGTTGAAAGCATTTGAACAGTCCTTCTTCTGGATGTGTTTAGGTTGCAGTACCACACTGGTAGCCAAACCTACCACTCAGGTTTCTCCATATCCCAAAATGCCTATTTTACATGGCTTGTCAATACAGGCAATAGTCTGTGCAAATGGCGACACTTTTCAAATTGTAGGTGGTACTTTCCCTATGTATAAACTGCAAAAACTAGACTTGCATATATTGTTAGCATTCCTTGTTCTGGCTTGTGCTTGATAAGGAAAACAAATTACACAATGAAGGTAAGAAAACAGTTGGTGATTTTCGGGTGCAGAGTATGACAACATATACAAGGTTAAGGGTGTCTTAACCTTCTTAAACTTGTTTCAGCCTGTGACTAATGGCAAGTCTCCTCATAAATGTAAAAACAAGTAGAGTATTGCATAGTACATAAATAATGAAGAGATAGTTGGAGCAGAAAGTAGACACAGAGCTATTTTACTACAACCCTGTTTTTGCACCTACATGGACATTTGTTTCAGCTTTTACTATTTAGGTCTGATATTTCAAAGCCAAATTTACACATTTCTAATGTCTATTATTTTTGCATGGCAAATTCTGCACATTTTCTTTTATTGCCATATAATTTAAACTAGGGCATGTCAAACTTTTCAAATTTGAAGAGAATAAGGAGTATAGACTTGTTTTATATTATTTCACAAACTTCAGATGAAAAACAATTTGCAATCCAATGATTTTGAATAAAAAGGTTCAAGATAACACATTCTTATCTTGTTCTTACTAAGCATTTAAAGTTATTGTCCTGTTAAATAGTATTGAAAGCTCTGACAGAGCTGACTGGTAAGCTTGCGTGACTTAGCATTTTCGTGATAACTAATGTGCCGCTGCTTTGATTTATGGTGAGCAATCGATATCAAAAGCTGCCCCCCAATTAATTAAAAGATTAAAGTACAAAGCACGCTATTTTCAATTAAATCATTCCCCTGCATTAGCGCATTACGAAGATCTTCGTACACTGCGGAGAAACATATTAGCACTATAACTTCTACAAAGGAGCTGCTGTCACACTGATACGAATTTGCGAGAAACACGCCCAGAAAGCAGACTTCTGCACAGTAAAACAGCGTAATTCCAAATAAAGCCATGCATTTTCAAGTGTAGTAGCAACACATTCACTTAGTTCGTGCAAAAGGAAAAGGTAACGTTTTCCTAAAAATTCCTAATGTTTATAGCCGGAGGCTGGAAAGACAGCAATTAACTTACCAAACACTGTTAGAGCCATTTTATTGCTGCGATTCCGATGGTATGGACAAAGCCTCTCACCGCAAACACATTGATAACTTCCCAGCCTCACGTCCTTCACGAGACCTTGTACAAGTACACTGATCTTCTACAAAAAAGACAACATCAAAAGGCACTGTCGTGACAAAACTAATTTTCCAATAAAAACGTGCACATCTTATTTCATTTTTTTTAAAAGGGCATTTCACAATGAAAACATCTTATATTAAACGCAAAATGAATATAAAATACATGGAAAGTTTTATAAGATCTTTAAAGATGTAATGCACAAATGCACAATACATTAACTAGGATAAACCACAAATAAGGAGCAAAGACTACCGCTACTGGGTACTAATAAATGCAGTACTTACTCACACTGTATCCATCAGGTTTAGAGACGCCATCTTGTTTTACCACATGACCAGCTTCATCTCCACCGGGACTGCAGGCTTTCCAGGTCTTATTACCATGGAAACAAAAATATTCCTTGCGGTGACGGTCCTCCCAAAGATGAGATCAAACCGCTCCTAACCCATTCGCAATTGAGAGCGGGTAACAACAAGCAATGCATTAAGCAATATCTTGCCTTGCCTGCATTAATGTTATGACTAAGTTACATTTCTTCCATTTCCTTTTAAGTCTATTACCGATTCCAACTCAGTAGTAATTCTAAATTAGATTTTAAAACCACTTATATTAATTAAAGATCTAACAAATGGTTTAATCCGCATGGATCATTCGTGTGGTCTTTACCTCTTGTTCGTTTTGGTTTCTTTCTAACCATAAGAGTAAGTACATGTGATTGTACTTCGATGTATTGTATCTGACCTATAAAGTGCAAACTGTTTTTTTTTTTCGTATTCTGCAAACAGAATATGTGCAGTCATCTATGCATTACACACTGCATGCACTGGGCACTGTCCTACACTTAAACCTTCAAGTAGCGCAAACTATTCAAGAAAAATCAAAAGTAGCTAGTGTAACATTTTGGATCAGCACCTTAACGAAATGAATAGAAAAACGTTTTTCATTAACTATTTGTTTCTGTATTTGTTGTACTATTTTGAGCAGTTGCTTGATATTTACACCTAATATTTAATATCACAGATTAAATGACACATATAAAAGATTAAATACCTATAAAAGCAATTGAAACACAAAGTCAGAAAAAAAGATGCCACTAAGTCTTAATAATCGTAATTGAAAGTATATTTTAAGTGTGTTTCATACCAGACTTTCACTTAAAAGTGTCACACAACCCCAGCCAGGTAGCAAACTTTTCTGTCAAGGAAAAAGCACCTAAAGACAAAGCTTTGAATTTGGACATCATATTTAAATGATAATTAACCAAAGACAAAAGCAAAATAAATAAACAACAATTATGTCAGAGAAATCCCATTGATTCCCATTTGAGGACAGATTATTGAGTAAGAATGCTCTCTTTCCTCAATTTGTTTCACAGATGGACTTTACCACGTCCCCTGACTACCTTTACTTCTACTTTATCCATACAAAACCAGTAAGACGGTTTTCTGTTTCATTTCATCCTTCAATCTTAAAAAGGTATCTGATCATAGGTACAAAAATACCCAGACCCAAAGACCCAGATCTGACCCAAAAAACTCAGACAGGTCCCATAGAAATATAGTACCATATGATTCATTTTATAGGCACTGACACCTTAACTTACACAAAAAATGTGACGATTCTATATTCTGACATGATGCATCTAAAAACAATAATTGTTATCCTTTATGTACATAGATGTGGGAGGCTTGCAAAAAAGCACAAGTAATCCTTTCATTATTCTGTCAGATATACTGTATTGTATCAGTTTCTTAATGTTAAAACATTATATATTTTTCATATATAAGGGCATATACTGTATTTGTATAAATAAGGTAACTTATTTAACTTATTAAAACACAGTCAAGAGAAGTAATCCCAGTGGGGGTGCCTAAGTACAGTACTATAACACCAGTGTCTGCTTTTTTTCATGAGCCTATGAGAACATGTAATCTGACTGGGATGCCAAGTATCAATTTAAGCAGAGTTGGCACTGAGCAAATACTGGCAAATGCTGAGGTATGCAGCATAACTGAATTCCTGTGTGAAACAGGCCCAGATCCAGCTGAAGTCATGTCATGGCAATGAGTGTAGGCGTGCTGCGATGAGTTAAAACATGCTGACTGTATTTAATAAATTAGTAAACCAGAAGCTTCTTTCAAATGGATAAGTATTCAGTCCCTTTTCTACAGCAGCCCCAAAGCGGTTCAGGTGCAAAAGAATAGTTTTACAAAATGCAAACAAATTGTAGGTTGGTCTCCTTCTGTGTTTAACTTGACTTCGGAGTAAAAGGATCTGTCTCGAGAAATGCCCTCAGAAAGAATGTCATGCAATTGAATTTCAAGCCACAAGCCACAGCTCACATAGTGAGACAGTGATATGACAAATAAACCTGGAAGACCTAGGAGCTTTTGAAACAAGTCGAGAATAAAGTGGCAGAGAAGCACAGGGGAAGATTACTTATTCCTTTGCGTTAAAGTAAAAAGTGGCTTGTACATCATACCACCCAGACACTAACTAGATCAGGCTGCCCTTCCACGTGAGCAGAGAAGGAAGCAGGAAACTGATTACAGATGCCGTGGTGAAGCCAAACGTGTTGAGGAAACATTTGAAAAGATCTATGTCACAAAGGGGAGTCTGTAAACAACAATGCTGTGGAAAATGGGGAACGCTCACAGAGGTGTTTAGTATCTACCCAGGATATCTACCCTCTGGAACTTTCCCTATTTAATTTTCTGCTACAAATTCTGTAGGTCCAGGAGTCAAAAAAGGAATGTTAAACCTTCTTTTCCCAGGTGCCCACAGCTTATTAAGGCCACCGGGATGTTTGCCCTGAGCTAATTATCAAAGAAGGCCTGTGCTCTGGAAATACAAGGGTGGGGCACACTGGAGCTAAGTGGCTTTTTCAGAGACAGGGTGGTAAGACAAGGACCAGTCTGTCAAACCTTGGTGAAATCATAAAAAAGGAATTCTTGAAGGAAATCTTGTTGGTTCAAAAAGAAACAAGTAGCTGAGAGGATAGGTTTTTATGTAAAAGCTGGTAATCGGATTATCCACCTAACACATATAGTGGGGTAAAGTATTGGTTGAACGGTAAGAAGCATCCCTTCTTTTATTTTGTATGGGCTGAATTTGGAGAGTTATTCTGTAAACTATAAAACCCTGCTAATAAGTAAAGACAATACAAAGCATTGATGTGCCTTTAATTCTGTGTATTAGAGCAGTGGTTCCCTACTCTGGTCCTGGAGGAACACTGTTATCTGTTATTTTCCAGGCGAATTTATTCGTTTTACTTTCGGGATGTGATTGTAAATTTGCTTTCAGCTCTTAAAATTTCAAATTTCAAGTCCATCCTTCCATCCATTTTCTAACCACTTTTCCCAATACAGGGTCACAAGGGAGTTAGCGCCTATCCTGGCAAGTAGCAGGCAGAAGGCAGGATACACCCTGAATGCGATGCTAGTCCATCACAGGGCACACACAGACACAGACACACACACACTCAACAACTTCAGCATGCATGATTTTTTTTAGAGTGGTGAAACTCTGAAACTGATACTTGGGTTGAGAGCAATTACAAATTTCATCTGGCCTTTTATGACAGTATGGTGGCACTAAGGTTAGTGTTCCCTCTTCACAGCACTGGGATGCTATCAATCTGAAACAAAGTCTTACGGTCACAAGAAATTAAATTTGAGTTTTTTGGACATGTTCATCTGAGTTATGTTTGGGATAAAAAAGGTGAAAATAATTTTGAGAAAAAACACATATCCCCACTTGTAACATATTGTGGGGGTGGTCTATTATGTTTTGAGGTTGTTTTGTATCTACAGCTGATGGAGTCCTGTCAAAGACTTGTCAGTCATGATATCCAACACGTAACAGGATATTTTGGCCAAGCATTTGGTTTTTTCCTGCTCAAACACTCAAGCTTGGTTGTAATGGACATTCCAACATGACAATGTTTCAAACCATGCATCCATATCAACAAAGGAGTAGTTAAATGCACACATAAATACATATATTTAACGGGCCATCCCAATCTCCATGCTTTAATCTGATTGAATATTTCTGATTATAATTCAAGATGGCAGTTATCTACAGGAAAAGCAAAGCAATTCTGAAAGGAAGAGTGTTCAGACATTCCACCTCTGTAGTGTCATAACCTCATAGCATACTACAGCAGGTGTCTAAGAAGTGTAATACCTGACAGAGGAGGATTTATAGAATAAAACAAAATGCTTTGAAGAAGGAAATGATGTTTGAATAAATGTAACCTTTGTGTTTCTCGGACAAATATGACATTGCTTTGTAGAGTACTAATCTGATTGTTGTTTAATAGTTTGAGGTTTTTAAGCAAAAAATGGCAAGATTATCCAATCTTTAAATCTGTGTTATTTAATGTTTATTGTTCCTATTTCATTGGCAATATGAACGAATATGGAGGGTGCTCTACACATTACAATGGTAAGCATAAGATTTGGCAGCATCTACCAAAAATATTGTTTTTTTCGGATTGATGACCTTCAGTCAGGCAGATGTTTCTCCTGGAGGATTTTGATAGTGTTGAGTGGATGTCACGGAGCACCAGGTGTGTTTGTCCTTTGTGATCATGTTGGAGATTTTGCTCTTGGTTGTACCAGTATTCCATTGGAAGAATGTCATATGATGTCATAATCTTTTTCCTCATAACCCATAATCGACTCATCCTACCAGAAAACAAAGTAAAATATCCTGTTGTCCCAATAGCTATAAATTTTCCCATCACTCCATTTATCCTTCCAGCTTCTCCCAGTAAAGAAACAATACCAAAGTCATTAATGTATTCAACTTTTTTGTCTTGCAAAAGTGAGCAGCACTTCTCCTTTTCCTGATGATTATATATTTCTCAAGGGGCTCCATTTTTCTCTTACAGTAGAAACACATGCTACCCAGGTTAAATGAAGTTTCTAAATTGCCCCATCTGTGTGCATGTGCACAGACCCTGTGATGAACTAAAATGTCAAGGTGTAGTTCCACCTTATTGCCAGTACCTGTCAGGATGGGCCTTGTCTTGTTGTGAACCATTATGGTTAGTTAAAATGGATGGGTGGCTTCTTCAAAACTAGTAGTGAAAACTGTAATGACATTTCTACACCACACAGTAATTTCCAGCATGACCTATTTAATGCTCAAAGCTAAAAGATATGCTTGATTAAATATTGATTAGTGAGAGAGTTAACCCACTGAAATGTTGTTTCTGTAGGTTTATTGATTTGACATTAGGCCAAGATGTTTATGGGATCAGGACAAACTGTAGTTGCTCAGACCTTAAACAAGGTATTTTCACATAGATGGCTCAGAATAATGATGGTATAAATACTGTGATGTGCAGTGAGGGTTATTGTGTGGGTGTTGTAACTCTAAGCCATGTACTTATAACTACCACCTTGTAGAAATCTTACCTGCT